GTGACATGTTCGTACGAACCCTTTGTACGAACAAAAGTAAGAGAAATTTAGGAAGAATACAAACATGTTCTTGCATGAGGCCCAATGTTTTTTTTATTGAATTTAATGTTTTATTCTCTCCCATTTAACTTTATTACATTGTAGTATTTTCTAGTAGTCAAACTATAAATATATGCTAAATTTAAGTTGTATGGCAACAAAGTAGAAAGTTCCACAAACGAGGTGAAGACTTTTGCAACCGCCTGTAGAACATCTAAAGAACAAAGTAGCTGTGTAGTGGACGAGCTGGTCTACAACAGTTCAACACAACAATTTTATTTACTATAATAAGAAATAGAAATGCTTTTTACGTTTATGGGAAAAATAAATAAAAATAATATATAAACAATAATTAAACTTTATCGAACCAGAACCAGAACAGCAGAGTCTGTGTACCTGGACTTGGCTAGAAGGTTCTTGATGCGCTCAGCTCGACGGGAGCGCTCCTTCAGCTCCTCGGGACTCAGAGGCTCCTCTGGCTCCGACTCTACGTACCGCTCTGGGATGAAAACTTTGTCTGGTTTGGACAGCTGCATGTCACAAAAACAGAAACACAAAGTACCATTTTTTATTTACTGTTTATAGCAGTGGCTTTGAGTTTTCACTCAGACACATGGTAGAAAGTCTAAGTGTTTAAAGCAGGGATGAGCAACCGGTGGCCCTCGGGCCATATCAAATCAGCTCTTAAAAGTTTTTGAAAATTACAAAAATGTATAAATACTGTATGTCTCAGTGGCACAGAATTGGGTGCAGTTACAAGATTTGCCACTAGATGTCGCCTCCAACACATGTTGAGTCTTCTCTACCAGTGAGGAAGAGTTTAGACACGGTGAAGAACAGAGGAAAGCAAACTGGACAGATAAAATCACTTTTCAGGTGAAATGGGAGGTAGACGGTTCACAGAATGTCAGTTTTATTACATTTGGGTAAGTGTGCGTTGCTATGTGACCCTCTGCTAGTGTCAACAAAAATATTGTGGCCCCTTTTCTATCATTTAAGTTGCCCATTCCTAGTAAGGGTAAAAAAAAAAAAAAAAAAAAAAATCTGTAAACACGATGTACCTCTCGGCTGATATCCAGGTCGTAGTCCAGAGGTTCCACATCCACCTCTTGTACCCGCCGGGCCGTTACTGTCACCCACTCATCTGAGTGAATCCTCCTCCTCTCGCTGAATAAACTCAGTCCTTCGTCACTCTGACCTTCTGCTCCGAGTCGCTCCTCCTGCCAGTCAAACACCTGCAGAGGACCAAGAGTCAGGATGAAAAATACACAAAAACAAAACAAAACAAAAATCAGAAAAATGTGACATATTCTTATTTATTTACTTGTTTAGTTTTCTATCCTTTAAACAATTAACTGAAGCCATAAACATGAGATCAGTTTTGTTAAGAATGTTTCCTCTTAATGCCAGCCAGTCACGTTAAAGTGCCAACCTTTGTTAAACTACTTATAAAAAGTTAAAGCTTTTACAATTTTAGATCACAAGCCTCAGTAGTTTTTAATGTTATTAAACTAAAAGCATTCTGTAATAATTAGCAGAAATTTAGAAAATCAAATAATTCAGAGATGTTACAGAGCAAAAAAGTAAAAGTCCAGCGTATTTATTTGTTCCAGTCTTACTACTGTGGGAACTTAAAATGTTGATCAGACCAAAACGTTTTGCTTTCAGATTCTTTAAAAATTGCCCGATGCAATCATTTAGCAAACGACTTGCAGGTAAAGCAGCAGCTACGTGTGTATTGGTGTTGTGTTGAGGAAAACTGACAGAAAATATTTGAGTGACTTTAAAATGTAATAAAAAACAAACAAACTGAATATGGCAGTTACAGCCGAGGGCCATTCTTGGTTAATATTTACTGAAGATTAAAATAACCCCTTAGACACAATGCATCATTTTTCATATGTAACGTGTCAAATTCCTCATGCAGAAATATGAATGACCTTTTCCCAAGACATCAGTATAATATTTAACAAATACTTACTGACCAAATAAATAAAGCTCAAATTTAATGAGAAATTATTAAAATGCATTATTTATGCCTTGCTCTCTCTGTTTTTCACGCATTATTTCTTCAAAATTATTTCTCACAATCCAGCAATCTGTTAAAAATTCCCACAGTTCCTACCATTTCACTTTGAAGCACAAAGAGAATACAGAAAAAAGTCCTATTATTCCTTATAGGAGTCTACATTAACGGCTACTTTTCATGTTAAATAATTAAACTCGTGATGAGAAATGAGTTACGGTTGCTAACAGAGCTGATGTCATCAGTTAATGCTCAGACTTGCTCACTAAATTTGAGCACAATATCTGTGAGGTTGACAGAGGTATTGATTGTGTTTGCTTAGGTCAATTTAAATTAAACGGCCTCCAAAGAAAAGTCTTCAGTTGTAGATGGACATACAAATATTACGTTCTGAGAGTTTCATTAAATCAAGGTTCATGAGATCTTCTGTTATTGGGAAGATAAATGCACACAGACATCGGTGAAAACATTATCACTTGCATTTCACATTTAAAAACGGGCAATAAAAATATAATTATAAGCAGATTCTCTGATGCTCATATTAGACACCTGAGATTATTATTAATTTTTTTGGCTGCATGTTTACCTGCAAGAGTTTGATCAGTCTCACTTTGGAGATTTTTTG